TCCATAGATAGATAGATAGATTCACACACACACACACACACACACACACACACACACACACACACACACACACACACACACACACACACACACACACACACACACACATACACACACACACATACACTTATATAAACACACACACACACACACACACACACACACACACACACACACACACACACACACACACACACACACACACACACATACACACATATATAAACACACACACACACACACACACACACACACACACACACACACACACACACACACACACACACACACACACACACATACACACACACACACATACACACACACATATATATATATATATTCATTCTATATTTATATCTACCCTAATATCTATCTATCTATATTTCTACACACATACACACACACATACATACATATATGTATGTGTGTGCACACATATATGAGCAACTGGGTCTTCCCTCAGCCTGTCCAAGTGAATCACCCTAGAGTGGTCATTGGAGGGATGAGGAGTTTTGAAGAGGACCCATAAGGAAGCCACTACCAGTGCCACAGAACGCTGCAATTCTGAAGGATCTTCCAACAAGTGCTGACAAGAATGTAGTCGATCTCCTAGGCCACAGTACCCATATCACTATACCATGTCCGGCAATGCGAATTGGACTGCTAATACCAAGAGCCAGAAATCCTCATTCTCTGGGACCTAGCAAAGTCCTGGAGAAGGAGGCTGTTCTTGCTGCTGGGATCAGCTCCCGAGCCATTGGGGCTAACAGACATCTCGTAGCCAGCTCAATCACAATCGCCCAGAATAATGTGAGTGTCTCTCCGGGGGCAATTGTCTGCCACAGATATGAGGCAGCCACCTAAACGCCCAACCGCCCCAATAGCAGAGATAATCGCTCATCCGCAAGTACCAGATGTTCCAAGCACCTACCCAGCTAGCTCGCCTGAGGTTAAGACTCAGGCAGTCACTCCGGGTGGACGCGACCCCTGCCACCTCCGCCGACACTGCCTCAAATAAAGGGGGTCAGCAGCCTGTGGGGCCCAAAGTTTGCCTGTGGGGTTCCCTTGGTCTTTGCCCCACAGGCCACATGCTGGGTTGGCGTCTGCTAGGACGCAGGCAGAACAAGTAACTCCCATTCCCATCCTGTGCCCCAACATTTGCCCTCCCAATGGAACCCACAACCTTCCTTGCTCACTGGGTAGGAAGGACAACACCCCTCCTCCAGCACATCCATTTATTTTTGACACTGCCAGTGAGTTATCGTGGGGGAAGAGGGCTGGCAAGCCCCAACTCCCCTAAGCCGCCCATTAACCCCAGGGTGGCTGAGGGGCAGGATCTGATACAGAGCCAGAGCATGTCCACACGCTGGTGGACCATGGCACCATACCTCTGGGGCCTCCTGCTGTTCCAAGAACCCCCACAGTTTAGCCTGGGACCGCAAGGTGCCCAGTTTCCATGGGTATCCACGAGGAGGCACTGCTGAAGTCTCAATGACGGAGACGTTGTGAACTGGCAGGCTATTAAGAGGTTATTTGGTAGTACCATCCTTAGTGATTGGATGCACTTCTGCAGTTCGGCGCTCTGACATTTGTGCCACAGCGGCGACTTCCCCAACGACACCTGCGTTTGATTTCTCAAGGTGATATGTCGTTTTCTCGCCGTGAGATCGAGCTCGAGCCAGCAGTCAGAGCGCAGGCATTTTTACGACTGCCGCGGCTGGGAATTGAACTCAGGACCAATGAGGGTCGGAGTCCATTGGTCTAACCACTGGACCATCGCGGTAGTCACCCACCCCCCCTATACATATGTATGTATATATATATATACATATGCATATATATGTGCGTGTGTGTGTGTGTGTGTGTGTGTGTGTGTGTGTGTGTGTGTGTGTGTGTGTGTGTGTGTGTGTGTGTGTGTGTGTGTGTGTGTGTGTGTGTGTGTGTTTTGTTACCGTTACCATACATAATGATGATCTGATAATGATGATAGTAATAATGATGATGACGAAGATAAAGATAATAATAATGATAATGATAATAGTAATTATAACAATGACAAAATAAACAATAATGATGACGATAATGATAATAATAATACTGATAAAAACAATAATAGTAGTAGTAGTAGTAGTAGTAGAAGTAATGATAATAGTAATGATTATGTTAATAATGATAATGATAACAATCATGATTATATTAATAATAAGAAGAATAGATAATAATGATTATTTATAAAGCATAAACTGATTATAACTGCTGATTATGCTGCTGATGGGTACGAATGTAAAGGATTTTGTGCCCTTTGTGTCGGAATGTTTTTTTTTTTAAGAAAAAAAAAGATAAATCTTCTAAACTCGCGAACGAACGCACCTTATACTGATCAAATATAACCCGTGATTGTTCAATGCTGTGTCTTTTTACGTTGAACCAGGACGTTGTCCAAGGCCTTAAGGATTACGCAATGAAATATTACTTCGTTTATAAAGTGCATTAGTGCTTCAACCTCTTTTGTATTAATCTGCGTTTGTTCATTGATTTATTGACGTTTTATCTGAATACCCATTCGTTTATTCGTCTTCTCATTAGCATTGACATTTTCTTATATAGAACGTGTAATAATACAAGAATTATTTCATCTGAATAGCTTGTGTCTTCTCACAAAACTGCAACGTATTCGCTTAAACGGCAGATAGTGATAAACTAAAAGACTGAAAAGATTATCCGTGAGATTTGTCAACTCCGTATATATTTTTCGGTTCAAGGTCCTCTCTTCTATGATATCATATTATTGTTCCAATATTCATCCAATCAGAATCTCACACAGACAAGCACACACGTACTCACACAAACATATGGTCACACACACCAGTACATATATACCCTTCTCGCCCTAGACACTGGCATATCCCCCACTCCTATACACACTCAAAATACTATCACCCCCCCCCCCCCCACACTCGAAAGACCTCGCCTCAAACACACACAACACACTCGCCTCTCTCGCCAGACACGCACTCACAACCCCCCCCACCCTCCTCCCACACTCGCCTCCCTCCCTTTCCCCTCCATTTTCCTCACACTCATCTCCCCCTTTTTTCCCTCAGAATCCCCACACTGGCTCTTCCCCGCCATGATCCTCCTGGCACTCGGAGGCAACCAGACGCGTATGAGTGTCATGCAGTTTGGTGACCTCTTCCCAGACTACAGGGCCACCGCCATCACCATGCTGTCTGGCATGTACGCCGCGTCTGCCGCTCTCTTTCTTGTCTTCCAGGTAAGGTTCGGGTTGAGGGGCAAATGACCTTGTTTGTGGGGTTGAACTGGCGTTTCCTGGACGATTGACCTTCTTTATCTGTGGATTAAACTGACCTCTAAGTTGGCATTACTGTTACAGATTTTATATTAGTGTTACTGACTATATTATATTTCTATATGATAAGAGCAGTATTGGTATTGTTAGTAACAAATTTAGTGTTAGTATTAATATTATCATCTCTCTTTACAAGTTGCTCAGTTTACCGTAGAATAAAAGTACACATTTACAAGGATAACTAAAAATAAATTGGTGCCTCCCGACCTGCGCAAATTCCTGAGTCGGCTTCCCCAAGGCTAATTTCTACGGGTTCGTAAATATTCATTATTTCGGAGACTTATGGCGATGTAAGTACCATAATAAGTATAAGCCGTAGAAAAGGACAAAAAAATTTTAAAAATACGTTTAGACGTTCAGAAGAGACCTATACGGATTATATGTAGCAAAGGGATAGTGCTGCCTTATACATTCATTATGTTAATAGACAGTACATATTATTTTTGTTACCTTTTTATAATGTCCATGGGGAATCACGACACTGATCGGTTCGCCCTCACCTTTGTAACGGTCCTTGTCATTAGCATAGTGTTCCTCCTCCTCAGTATACTGCGATGGCTGGCATTCCTCGAGCTCACGTGTGCTGGGCCCTGGCTGCCATCAGCTCGCTCTCCATCTTCCTCTCGTTCATCATTCCGGTCCATCACATCCCTGTCCACAATCAACGTAAGTACACGGTGATTCATGTAGATACGCACGTGTACATACCACACACACACACTCATGTATGTATGTGTGTGTGTGTGTGTGTGTGTGTGTGTGTGTGTGTGTGTGTGTGTGTAAATATACATATATATGCTGTGTTGATACAAAGGTTGAAAAAACACTACACAAAGTAAGTTTACTGAAAGATGAGACAGCACTTTCGAAATCCTCCTGAAGGATTTTGAAACTGATATCTCATCTTTTAACAAACCTATTTTGTCTAGTGGATTTTTCCACTTCATATATACTGTACGTTTAATTATATTTATTTTGATGATAACAATGGTGATGGTAATGAGGAAAAATAAGTATAAAGAAATTATCCGATGGCGATGTGTAGTCACGCGCTAAACAAAATGTAGGGTTGGACCAGCACACAAGGACAAAGCTAACAATAGTGACATATCTATTGGTGTCTTTCGCTGTTGGTGTCGGTCGCACATTTCAAATGAGACGGCATTTGGCACGTGGTTAAAGAGACCCACTAATACATGAACTAACCTTACCTTGCATTATTATGTGTCCGTTATACTTCACTGACATATTTGGTGGACATTGACTCTTCACTGTAGACAGCAACATGATGCAAAAAGACCTTGAGGTTTATCAAAATGAAGAGGAGAAAGTATGACGTGCGGAGATAACAAGGTTATCTGTTTGTTAAAGGATAATATAACCACTATTGATATAAATACTGGTGGGGACTTTTGTAATAAGTCGAATATATTTACGACCAGAAACTAATTGTTTGCGACTACAGTGGTTACAGATGACTAGAGTAACGTTCATTTTTACCTCGTTATTAATAGTAGTAATACAACAAACGTGTAATGTTTTAAGCCGTTCCCATTCTTCTACAGAAGGCGTTTGTATCTAGCCTTTAAATTTTCAGCCGTTATCATTCTTTAACATAAGTCGTTTATTAATGCCAACGCTTTACAAATTACAATAGGAGGCCATACGTGATAAGAGTTGCCTTGCTCCGTTTTCATTTCGGTTATCATTCACCTGAGGTTACTCATTACATACAGATGTTTTATGGTGTATGGATGGGCATGTCTTTGGGGAGAGGAGCGATGGGTGCCCCACCAAAGGGCACCACCCTCACGACACCTGGCACCTCCCCCACCGGCAACGGACAATATAATTGGATGCACTAATCACCTTTTTCCCGCTATTTAATCTGAAGAGGCACTGTACTGTATGATGCACTGCATTATATGATGCACATAAAAAAAGTTTTATTGGTGAATGATTACAAAACGGAGTGAATAAAAAATATTAAACAGATTCAAGTTACGTTGTGCCCGTCAGGTATTTTGAAGTAGGTTAACCTTTTTTGGAAAAAATATAAAGAATGCGCACCTGATTTTTTTGTGTGTTTACCTGGCTGATCGCACACATGATGCCCTTGGATATAACTAAGATGATAGGAAAGAGTAAGAGTGATACGACTGAGCAACTACCTATCAGATGTAACTGATAAGACGAACCACGTGTATGTGGACAATTGTTATACGATTATCGTCATAGATGTTATCAAAGAAAGCAAATGATTTGAACTGCATTCTTTAGTAAGAAATATACGTCATATAACATATTTTAAAGAACTGCATAGCTGAGGTATGACTATGATATTTAGGGAGCTTTTCCTTATCTCTTATGCATATCCGAGATCTCAGCGAAGAATTCCTTGCTTCCTATATTGTGAAATACCATTAAAATGTGAGGTATTAGAAGTTGGGCAATGTGGTGAAATTATGGCCACACTTGTCAAGGATAAACGAATAAACGTAACGAATAAAGATACAAGTACAGTATATAATATGTGTACAGAAATTCAGATAAGCACCGCCACATTAGGAAACGAACAACATATGGCAATTCTGGGCAGACGAGGCTCTTCATCACACAATAATAACGAAAACATTTCAGAGTATCGTAGTGCTACGTCAAGATTTATGGCCCCTCCTTTCTCTTTTCTTTTCTTTTTGTGGCCATTTTCACTTCATCCTAGGACGTCGTTCATGGCGGGGACCTGACCAGAAATACATTGTGGTCGCCAGGGTAGGGGCGGAGCTAATATTCCACGTCCGAAACAGAAGGCTTTCCCTGCCGCCACGCATTTTCTCTTCCTAGTTTTGTCAGGACGGTGCGAGCTTTTGAGTTAAACTGCCCTTTTTCGGCATTGAAATCAAGTCACATGAATGAAGAAACAGAAATAAATAGTTTAATAAATCATTCGAAAACTGCCTCTTATCGTCTAGATCTACATCGCCAATGATACTAAACCTAACAAAAGACATTTTAAAATCGTAAAATTCCCTCTTTTCAGAATCTCAAAACCAAGACGCCATCGAGTCTCCATCGCCTCTGAAAACGAGTCTCTGGTCCGCCTCTTCTTTCCTTCATCAGCTATGGTTCTTCGTGCATCTTCTTGCAGTAAACAACTACCAACAGTCTTACAATGTTTGGATTACCAGTGAGCTGATTGTGTTTGTGTTTTTTTTTATGCTTGTTTCGTCGTCCAGCTTGCCTCCTGAACTTGAAACATTTTTTAAAACCAATAGGCCTACCTCCTTTAGGTTGCCAGTGTGCTAATTATTTGGTTCTTCTTGTTTCATTGCCTTGTTTGTCTTTTGATTTTATAACTGGTTGAAGCGCAGTTACAAGCATAGAATCGATATATAGATTTACTAATATTAATGATAATGATGATAATGATAATAATAATCATAGTAATAATGATGATGATGATAATAATGATAATGATAATAATAATAATAATTATGACTATAATAATAATAATAATAATAATAATAATAATAATAATAAAGTAATAATAATGGCAAATAATGCACAAACAGTATTCCATAACAGCATGACAAATGTACGACTCGTAACCGATAACATTCATATCCTGTTACTGTATGAAATGATTTTCTATTTCAGGTTCGTCATGTAGTGTGACCGAAGCGGGACTATATTCAATGTTATTCAGCTACAGCAACCTCCTGACCGTGTTCTTTGGTCCTATTGGGGGCGTCTTCACGGACTACATGATCAGGAAAGCATATAGAAGTAAGGCGATGAGTGTGAGGGAGGGAGGGAGAGACTGATAAATATATAGGAACCGGCCACCTACCGACAATAAGAGAGAGAGAGAGAGAGAGAGAGAGAGAGAGAGAGAGAGAGAGAGAGAGAGAGAGAGAGAGAGAGAGAGAGAGAGAGAGAGAGAGAGAGAGACTTTGATTTTGACAAGTTTGTTGAGACAAAAGCTTACATCTCAAAAGAATGAGGTAACGTTATCCTCACCCTATCTAAATAAGTCCCTGTGTGGGCTCACATCTCAAATACATGACTTGGGTACATGAACAGATTAGATTATATACAATACTTAGACACAAAAATACAAGTATTCA